GGGAAAAATTAAGAAAATTTCATAACTTAGAAAAATTCTAAGTTATGAAATTTTTTCAAACTTAAACCCTAATTTGCAAAATTGGGTTTCTTGATGAACAAGTTTCATGTTTTGACATATCTTGATGAAAAATTACCCTTGGCACTTGATTTTGACCAAAAAGTCAAAGTATGACTTTTCAGTGTACAGTCAAATTTTGATCAGTTGACTGAAAAATTCATCTGTCAATCCAATGCAATTGAGATCTTTTGAACATTGTGAATAGGTCAAGATGATTCCATTGATTCCTTGAATCCATGCTTGAACCTAATTTGCCAATGGCTAGGTTAAAAATCAGAAATTGCCCTTGTGCAGTCAAAACCCTAAAAATGACCATTTTGCCCTTTTGATGATCTGATCAAAATTCTTGAGGAGTTGTGGTCCAAACTTGATCAAATGGTTCATAGCAGCCTAGAATGTTGATGTGGATCAAAATTTATGAGGTTTGACTATAAATTGGCCATAGTTGACTTTTCCCTAATACAGTTGATTTTTAGGTCAGCTGTCCAATTGACTGAGCAAAAGTTTGATTCAAGGCCTGAAACTTGGTATGAACAATCTTATAAGTCCAACGTGGAGCATGAAAGTCACATTGAGCATTAGAAGTCCAAAATTCCTTGTGCAAACTCAAACCCTAATTTCAGGTCAACAGTGCAAGGAGATGTCTTGAGCAGAGCAAACCCTAGCTTGGTCTTGAATTCAAAGAGTCTTGTGAGGGGAAATTTTGATAAAATGAGAGGGCAAATTTTGGGGTACAACAGGTGTCATAAAAGTAATAAAAACTTATACAAAGAAAGATAGCTATATGTGATAACCCCATGGGGTTCCCATTCTACTATAGCCTTCGTAACTCCGAGTATCTTGTCCATTTGTTGCTTCATTCGAAGATGATTGAATTGATCAAAAGCTCCAGGTTTGTTAGTGAAGAGATTTTCCTCAAAGTGATCCGACGAGACATATTCATACGCTTTAATTCCCTGACTTTTGCCTGGACCTCCCTTTCGGGTTTTTAGTCCATCGGGAAACCCTTTTTTGCCCAAGCCGCTCTTTCGGGTTTTCAACTTGCCGGGTGTACAAATTTTTTTATTTTATCACTAATTTTTGCCCGAACCTTTTGGTTCGCTGGGATGCCCTTATTTTGCCTAGGTGTGTCAACCTAGCGGGTCTCTTATGCGTAGTATCTTTTGACTATGTCTGCGTTCGCAGGGTGTGGCAGGTCGTCGCCGTCCATGGTGGTTAAGATCATTGCCCCACCAGAAAAGATATTCTTGATTACAAATGGTCCTTCATAGGTAGGAGTCCATTTTCCCCTGGGATCACTTTGTGGCAAGATGATGCGCTTGATCACTAGATCTCCAACTTGATATACCTGGCGTCTGACTTTCTTGTTGAAGGCCTTGATCATCCGTTTTTGATACGTCTGACCGTGGCAAACAGTAGTAAGTCTCTTTTCATCAATTAAGTTCAGTTGATCAAGTCGGGTCTGAATCCAATCGTCTTCACTCAAACCTGCATCCTTCATGATTCTCAAAGAGGGAATCTGAACCTCAATAGGCAAAACAGCCTCCATGCCATAAACCAAAGAATAGGGTGTTGCCCCAGTTGATGTACGAGCCGTGGTACGGTACCCGTGGAGAGCAAACGGTAGCATTTCATGCCAGTCCTTGTAGGTGACTGTCATCTTCTGTATGATCTTTTTAATGTTTTTATTAGAAGCTTCGACTGCACCATTCATCTTTGGCCGATAGGGGGATGAATTGTGATGTTGAATCTTGAACTGCTCGCACAAAGCGGTGATCATGGTATTGTTAAGGTTTGTACCGTTATCAGTGATGATCCTTTCTGGGATACTATACCGGCAAATAAGATTCTGCTTGATGAAGCGGGCAACAACATTCTTAGTAACAGATGTGAAGGAAGCTGCTTCGACCCACTTGGTGAAATAGTCAATGGCCACCAGAATAAAGCGGTGTCCATTGGAGACTGTAGGCTTGATCTCCCTAATCATATCGATTCCTCACATAGCGAATGGCCAAGGAGCTGTTAAGACATTTAGAGGAACCGGAGGCACGTGCACCTTGTCTGCATAGATTTGACACTTATGACAGGTCCAGGAGTGTAGATAGCACTCAGCTTCCATGGTAGACCAATAATAGCCTTCCCGTAGAATTTTCTTCGCCATCGTATGCCCACTAGAGTGAGTTCCAAAGGTACCTTCATGCAATTCAGCAATGATCTTTTTAGCTTCAATCTTGTCCACACAACGGAGCAGAATAGAATCATGATTACGTTTGTACAGGATGCCATTACTTAGGAAGAACTTCGCGGAGAATCTCCTTAGGAACTTTTTGTCATTGAATGGAGCTCCTTCTGGATATTCTTGAGCCTCGAGATACCTTTTGACTTCATGAAACCACGGCTGGTCCACTATTTCTTCGGTATTAATCTCGTGACAGTGTGCTGGTTCGTCCATCCGTTCAATGGTGATCTGGGGAGCCTCATTATCCTAATTAAGTTTAAACATAGATGACATTGTAGCTAGAGCATCTGCTAGCTGATTTTATTCTCGCGGAAAGTGCTCGAAGGTAATTCGCTCGAAATGTGGTAACAATGTCAAAACATGTTCTTTGTAAGGGATAAGGTTTGGGTGCTTAGTGTCCCACTCTCCTTTGATCTGACTAATGACCAAAGCTGAATCCCCAAACACTTCTAAAGATTTGATTCCCAAGTCTATGGCAGCCTTGAGACTAAAGATGCATGCTTCGTACTCTGCCGTGTTGTTCGTACAGTTGAAACAAAGTCTGGCAGTGAAAGGAGTATGGCATCCTTCTGGAGATATGAGCACAGTGCTGATACCGTTACCAAGTGCATTGGATGCCCCATCAAAGTACAGGGTCCATCGGGATCCTTGTTCAGGTCCGTCATATGGTCTGATCTCTTCATAGTTGTCCAATGTCATGATATCTTTGTTAGGGAAGTCGAACTTCATGGATTGATAATCTTCTACAGATTCATGGGCCAGATGATCAGCTAGTACAATGCCCTTTATAGCTTTTTGGGTCGTGTACTGTATGTCATATTCTATTAGGATCATCAGCCATCTAGCTATCCTCCCAGACAGAGCAGGCTTCTCAAAGATGTACTTTATCGGATCCATCTTAGATATCAACAAAGTGGTATGAGTCAACATATATTGTCTTATCCGGTGAGCATCCCATACCAAAGTGCAACAAGTTTTCTCGAGCAGTGAATATCTGGTTTCACAGTCGGTAAACTTTTTGCTTAGGTGATAAAAAGAGTGCTATTTTCGGCCAGACTCGTCATGCTGCCCCAGTACGCACCCCATTGAATTCTCTAAGACGGTCAGATACATGATTAGCGGTCTTCCCTCGACGGGTGGCATCAAGACAGGAGGCACTAGCAAATACTCCTTGATTTTATCGAAAGCAATCTGACATTCATCGTTCCATCTGACTACTTGATCTTTCTTCAACAACTTGAAGATTGGTTCACAAGTAGACATTAGGTGAGAAATGAATCTGGCAATATAGTTTAAGCGTCCCAAAAAACCTCTGACTTCCTTCTCAGTGCGAGGAGCAGGCATTTCTTGTATCGCTTTGACTTTGGCAGGATCAACCTCGATGCCTTTGTTGCTGACAATGAACCATAAGAGTTTACCGGACCGGACTCCGAATGTACACTTGTTTGGATTCAATCTTAACTTGTACTCCTTTAATCTGACAAACAGCTTTTGCAAGTGATCAAGGTGTTCTTCTTCAGTTTGTGATCGGGCTATCATGTCATCTACGTAGACCTCTATCTCATGATGTATCATATCATGAAACAAAGCTACCATGGCGCGTTGATAGGTTGCCCCGACATTCTTCATTCTGAATGGAATCACTTTGTAGCAGAACGTCCCCCACTGTGTAAAAAATGTAGTTTTCTCCATGTCCTCAGGTTCCATTTTGATCTGGTTATAGCCTGAGAATCCGTCCATGAAAGAAACTACTTTGTGCTGGGCTGTATTGTCAACCAGGATGTCGGTGTGTGGAAGTGGAAAATCATCTTTAGGGATGGCCCTATTTAAATCTCTATAATCCACGCACATTCTCACTTTGCCGTCCTTTTTAGGTACGGGAACAATGTTGGCCACCCATTGAGGATAGGAAGTAACAGCCATAAATCCAGCATTGAACTGCTTCATAACTTCTGCTTTGATCTTCTCTAACATGTCAGGTCTCATGCGGCGGACCTTTTGTTTCACTGGTGGACAGTCTTGTCTTGTGGGTAGATGCTGTACCACAATGTCTGTATCGAGTCCTGGCATGTCTTCGTATGACCAGGCAAAGATCTCAACATAATCATGTAATAGCTGAATTAGGCGCTCCTTGACACTCGACTCTAGATTGGCACCCACTTTGATTTCCTTTTTATCTTCCTCGGTACCCAAGTTGATTGTATCCAACAACTCCTCATGAGGATGAATAGCTCTTTCCTCTTGCTGTAGTAGTCTGGCCAATTCCCTTGGCACCTCACAATCTTCCTCACCTTCGTATTCGGCTTGGTAGATCAGCTCTTCAGAGTCACTGAAGGCTATAGCAGTATCCTTACCCATGGGATCCGGAATGGAAGGGTACCTGCATTTGTGAGTGTGGGTGTGTGTAAGGGTATAGCCATCTTAAAACAACAAAATGTAAAAGAAAGACAATGAGCATAAAAGGTTTATATATGAAAAAGCGTCCATGATTCATTGAATGACATATGTAGATGAAATAAAAAACCCTTACAAATGGACCATTGTGTCTCGAGTAAGACACAAGGTTTTTAAAGTGTAAATTGTTTGTGAATTATTACAAGTCCAACAAAAATGTAAAAGATAAATTACTGAGATGACTGGCCAATAAACAATTCAAAATTAGCTTTTGAGAAGTTTGTGTTCACTAAGACTGTTAAGACAAATGCGCAGATTGAAGCTGAGGTAACACTGCTTGAGAACAATATCATTGTTTAAAAATTTGTGCAAGACCTGCATTTCTTTGTCACTGGCAGTGATGATAAAAATGAGCTCACTTTGGCATCAGTTCTTCAGGGTTTCTTCGATGCAGTCACCCTTTTGCTGAGGAGCTATGTTGACAAAGAGAAACAGGTACGCAGAGATCACTTATCATTATTCAGATCCAGAATTCATTCATATCTCGTACAGAAAAAATCGGCAACAGACTAAAGAAAGAAAACCAGAAAACTCACCTTGACGTGGTTGAACCAATCTTCCTGAATGTGACTCGTGTAGAAGCACTCCAGTGGTTAATAATACCAATGAAGCTTGACTCTGTAGGGCTTATGCAACAATCCATCTGCTACGACCCATCAAAGAGTTGGACTGTTTCAATTTCATGGGGTTTTTCCGTTCAGATAATTCGCGGCGTTTTCTCACCCCGGGAGATGGAAATGCCTGCAAGAACATTCTTGAATTGGTACAAAAGAGTAGATGACACTGCATATGAATTCAACACGTGACCTGTTATTCGTCATCCATTCCAGAAGCCTTTTGTATTTTACTTCTCAAAGGCAAACTACAATGATACAAATAACAACTCAAGTAACAGAAAAACAAATTACAACCTTCTAATAACCCTGCATAACTAACAGAATCCTAACAAACTTCCAGCAATGAAAAAAAGGCAGTTACCAACAGAACCCAAGCTAACCTGCAGTAGCTACTAACAAGTTCAAAACCTTAGCTTGCATCAAACAGAATAAAAAAGAAACTGGCAGAAAAGTCAGTTTCAGCATCCTCCAAACTTGTGCTTACATCAAATAATGCAGCCCTACAATTAACAACCAATCAGCAGTTCAGTTCCAATTCAGAAATCCAAATCAGTCCCTACCTAAGACTCTCACAGATTCTTGTTTAGCTTCAACATAAATCAGATAAAAATCAGGGGAATCATATAGATGGAGAGAGGAAACTGTGCAGCATAACAGAAAATGCATAGGAAGAATTTGCATCAGGAAAATAATGGAAAAATAGCAATAAGTCGGAATTAACCCCCTAACTGTTATAACAGAAAGTCTAAACTCCATAACCAATTTTCTAACTGTTCATAAATGAATCCAAAATATAATTAACGGGTAACTGTCAAAAAACCTACTAACTGCTCTCATCCTATCCCTCTATTCCGTAACAGAAAAGCAAAAATCAAGGGCTCTGATTGAATCCAGCTCTAACTCCTACCCTAACAAACTCTAACAGAATATAACAGAAAATTACCTTGGAATTGGATGATTCTTTAACCCGCAGGGGAATCACCAAAAATCCACAGGAAAATTCTCTCTCTTTGAATGGAATCATTATCTTCATACTAAAACGACATCTAGCCTCTCTCTGCAATCTCCATCCTCAACCTTCACTCTCAACTCTTCACAATATTCTCCATCATCAATCTTCAACCACCTTCATCTTCACCTCTTCCTCTGAACTATATCAACATCTTCTTCCCCAACCTTCAACCTTCGAGCCTCTGCATAATCTCCATTGATTCTGCATTTCAACCTTAATATTCTCAGAACCTTCAATTAATTGCAATCTTCACTTCAATCTCCATCTGGTTCATTGTTAATCCTCACGTAACCACTTCACACATTATCATCTTCAACGTATTCTCCATCAAGAACTCGCAATCGCAACAACTTCCTAACAACAACAACGTGCATAACAAACGCGAAAGCAGAAACGAGAAGAAGAAAGCAGAAGCATGAAATTGGGCGTACTTGAACCGTTACATTTAGAATTCTTATCATCCTCATCAAGTCGGAAAAGGCACCGGACCTTCTCCGGTAGGTACGTCACATGGAACTTCATCTCAGCTTTTCTTTATCAATTTCTCTTGTTTCTCGATGCGATCTGGTTGAAATGAAATCCACGAAAAAGACGGAAAGGTGAATCGAAGAAGTAGAGGCGATCAGAAACTGAATCGCGGCAGTGGAAGGAAAGTGGAGATGGTGGTGAGGTGATCGGAATAGCTATCGTGAGCGGCGTTGAGTTTTGCAAAGAAGAGGACTTAGTTCTCACGAATCTGAAAGAGAAGCCCAAACTTAACCCTAATCCCTTTACCCCAACTGCATAAGTTCTTTGTTTTTGCTTAAATTTTTATTGTTGTTAATTCCAAGTTTAATAATAATCAAATAATGTTGAATTAGGGTAATGATTTGGTGATGATATGCTTGGGCTGATCTGAATTTCGATAGGCCCATTTTGCGCGTCTTTTTGTTATACCTTGTACCTGCATAAAACTGCATGTGGGTTCATTTTGATGGGCTTAGATTTTGCTGGACACACCTCTGATCCAGCTTAGCACCCCCCTGAGCTCACTAATTCTTTATTAGATTTAGGAATTTTTCTTTGTTAATTTTTCCTTGAAAAAATTTTAAAATCAATAAAATTTGGTAGATCTGTTTAGTTAATTTTAGGAATTAATTCTTTAGTTTTTTGATGGAATTTTCCTTACATAAAAAACTAATCATAAAAATACTTTTTTCTTTTTTCAGTTGTCATCCGTATTTTCATGCCGCTTTGCCATGTTATTTTTGACACGTTTGTTCATTGTGCAAGGAACTTCTAATTATGCATTGCATTCACAATACGCGTTTGCCATTATTTTAGTTGGATATGATTTCTAACTTTGTTTGTTGCTTGGTGAAGTTTGCTCGACGCGTGCTCCCTGCTTCTTCATTGCTCTCGTCCGCTCTTGACGACTTGCTCGCTTTGGTAGCCTCTACTACTACCCTTGTACTTCTTCGCACTTTATTGCACTTCGTTATCACTTTCTATATATCATGTGAAGTAGGAAATAAAGAGCGTGCGCTCAAAGTTGCTGTTTAAAGACCTGTAGCAGGCATTCCGCACTTCATTTGCTATATGTGTTGTGCTTGTGTTTGTTTATTTGTTGATTGATCGATGAGTCACTCAATTTAGAAATTGAGATCACGAATTTGCTCTCAGTGCATGCTCCCTATAGGATTTTATCGCTTTCTTTTCTTTCTTGTTGATCGATGAGTCACTCAATTTAGAAATTGAGATCACGACTTCGCTCTCATTGCATGTTCCCTATAGAACAGTTTTGTTAGACTTTCTTTAGCATTCTAACCTAGATAGGATCTCTTCAGGTGTGTTCTCTTGAGTTTACTGGCTTGCTTGCTTTATCCCTGTACATACCATGTTCCCTTAGGATGTGCTTGCTCCGTCGGACGCAAGTTAGACCTTAGGTTGTAAACCATGCATGCTAACAGTAGGTAGAAACTTCCCCTTCATCCTTGACATAGGACTACCATTGTATGATAACATTAGGTTTAGAAATAAGCTAGTCTCCCTTAGACTCTTTTCTTCCCTCTTTGCATCCCTACATTCAAAACAAAAACTTCTTTTCTTAGCAAATCAAAAACACGCTATCATACTTAAAACCCTTTTTCAAGGTAACAAAAACACAAACCAATTCAAATCATTTTGTGCGCTCGAGCACCTTTGTCAAGCGTGTGGGGTGCTAATACCTTCCCCTCGCGTAACAGACTCCCTTACCCGATCTCTTGGTCACAAGACCGTGACTTCTCCCTTCTCAGGTTTTCTCGATGTTTACCTTTCCCTACATGTGGGCTAAAATACGTTCGATGGTGACTTCTTTGTTTGATGATTTTCAGCCGGTTGTTTCAACCGGAGTGGAGTAAACCCTAGGAGTGTGCATGTGCAAGTGTATTTTTTCAGTTAATTATCTTTGCACAATTAGGGTTTTCTACTGTTTTAATCTCAATTTGTCTTTCCATACAATTTTATTAACATACATCTAAATAGTTTATAGTTCGCGAAAATTAAAATGCGAGAAACTAGAGCCCTAGCTATTACAAGGCTTTGGGCAAATACATAATTATTTTTACTGTAAATAAAATACGGAATTAAAACCCTAATTAAATCTATTACAAACTCGGAGCAGTTACAATAATAATAATAAAAAGGGGAAATTAAAGGCGCGCGCGGCGAATTAAATGCGAGAAATAATTGGAAAACCTAAAATCTAATTGAAAAATATTTAGGTTATTTTTGGGGAAAAAAACTAGGTTATGTACAAAATTAAACCCTAATTCTAATTATTTTAAATTATAATAAAAAGAGAACTAAATTGCCTTAATTTAATTAAACTAATTAATTAATAAAAATATTTTTTATAAAAAAAAATATTTTTGATGTTTTTATGATTTTTGATTAAATTAAAAAAAACATGATTTTTGGTGTTATTTGAAAGAAATAATTAATAAGTGATAAAAAAGAATTGAAATAAAAAGAATAGAATTTGGGCCTTTCTGATGAGCAAATAGGGGGGTGCACTGCCAAATTCCTGTTAGGCCCAAAGATACTGAGTCCATTCCTGCGCATGATTATGTGCCTCTCTCCTCTGATGGTACATGGTAGTCTTTCACTGCTGGAGCGTGAGATTTGTATGATGATGGATATTAGGGCTGAGATCTGGGGCGCACGGTGGATGCTAAACTATGAGGCACACTGGATCTGCAGCTAAATGTTTAGAAAATAAGAAAATGTTGGGACCTGGGATCGAACCCAGATCCTTTGCTTCACATGCCCGTCCCCTTGCCATTTGCGTTGCGCTATTTATTTGTTAGTATGATAAGAAGACAATATTATATTGACAAGCTACGCAGTTTCTTCCAAAAGCGCACGTAATTCAAATGGACCAGTGGGATGGTGACAAGTCATCGTCTTCTTCCCTGTCCGTCGTCTTAGGTGCTAAACTTATACCTACGGACAAAACTCCATAGCTATAAACCTGCAAGCTTCAAAAATTCATATGACGCATGATAAATTAATTCTAGCTATACCAATCAACTCATCTTGATCTCAGGAGTATCATGGCATTATTTTCTTGGTCCAATTTCACCTGTACAGAGAAGCCCCAAAATGGCTTCTTAAACCCTAACCATGGAAATCATCAATATATGCATCAAAGCGCCAATTAAATCATTCAAGCATTTTGAAAATATGTCATTAATCACAAATACATCATTAGAATATGCATAGGATGCAAGAATTGTTGTAATCAATTTTGAAAAAAAATGCAAATCGTGTGAAGGCTATGGGATGATTCTGGGCTTAGGAATGCTTGCAATTGATCGTGCTAGCTTCAGGAGAGGTCCAGGAAGCGATTAGTAACTTTGGAATGCTTTGAATCACCCTCTATGTGAGAAAACGATCCACCACTTTTTTGCCAAAATTTGAGTTTTCTTTCTCTGCTCTCACGACTGGAACCCTTGTTCTTTTGCATTGTTTTTGTTCATTATATGTAGTGTGATGAATTAGGGCAACAAAAACGACCTGAATCTTTTGGAATTATGGAGATTGAATGTGATTTGCTTGCTATATGATATCTTTCCAAAACCATCTAAATCATGCTATTTTTGCCTCAATTTTCCTTGATTCAATTTGATCTGATTAGGCCGGCTTAATTAGATTT